AATAAATAATTTGATGTACCTACACTATTTGTAAAATTTTAACAGTACCTATATAGAAATATTGTATTAGGAACCTTTATCTTGTTTTCTTCATTATAGTTCTACTAAATTATTAACCCATTGATAACATGTGTAAGTGGGTGCTCATAGCCGAATCGTCATTGAGTTGTTGAAATTCAGTGAACATTTAATTTTAATGTACTCTGTCCGCAAGAGAACATACCCCTCAAGATGAAAACTAGTTGGTTTTGCACATCCTCCACCAAAATCCTTACAGATAGTGATTGTAGCAGTATCTGCAAACGCATGTTCTGTTCATCTTTGGTTGCACATCATTAATGATGTTAAACATAAATTTAACCATTATTTAAATATAAAATAGTATTATAACTTATTTTTAAACATAAAATAGTAATATAACTTATTTTTAAGTTTAAAATAGTAATATAACTTATTTTAAAATTTAAAATTTGGATAGTATTTAACCTAGTTAATTAAAATTTCTATTATGCCAATCGCTACTTATCTTTAAAATTAAATTTTGTTTTTTTTTTCAATTTTAATGAATTATATATTTTAGGTCTTATGCAAGGAATGGTACTGGTGGTGGAAGAAGTAATGGTTCTTATGGAGGCCAACGATCATCATATGGTGGTGGTGGTGGTGGTGGTGGTCGAGGTGGGATGGGTGGTGCCAAGAAAAATCCAGGTGCCAATTTACAAGCCCCCAACTGGGACCGTGTCCAACTAAGACCATTTAAGAAAGAGTTCTATGTTCCTCATCCAACTATTGAAAGAAGGTAAAATATAGATTGAATTTTGAATTTTATGATATGTACTAACTCCAATTAAATTTTTTTTAGATCTTATGAAGAAGTTGATAAATATAGAACTGGAAAAGATATCACTGTAATGAGCTCAGACAGGAGCCCTGTTCCTTATCCAATTCAACATTTTAAAGAAGCAAATTTTCCCGACTACGTTATGACAGTTATTCGGTTAGATAGATTTTATCTCATCTTTTTTATTTTTCTAACTAATTCATTTTTTTATGCTTAAAGTAATGAAGGTTTTACTGAACCTACTCCTATTCAAGCACAAGGTTGGCCTATTGCAATGAGTGGCAAAAACATGGTTGGAGTCGCCCAAACTGGTTCTGGAAAAACTTTGGGTGTAAGTTTGACCTTTTTATTGCCTAATGTTAAGTTGATCAACACATTGAGTATCTTTTAAAATAATGTATRTATGTTTAGTATACATTGCCTGCTGTAGTACATATAAATAATCAAGAACCTTTGAAAAAAGGAGATGGCCCAATTGCTTTAGTTTTGGCTCCTACTAGAGAGTTAGCCCAGCAAATACAGAAAGTCGCTGGATTATTCAATCAGTCCACATATTTACGGTCAACATGTATTTATGGTGGTGCTCCTAAATCTCATCAGGTATTAATTACACTTGAAATGAGGTAATAAATTGATAACATTTTAATGTTCAATTTATTTATGCGTTCTATTTCTCAGTGTACTAATAATTGGTTGTTCTGTTTTTGTTCATTGCAGGCCGCCATTTTGAAATTCGGTTTTGCAGAAACGTTTTTTTATTACATAATGAAATAATAACGTAACCTTAATAACGCACAGTGTTTTTGGACCATGACTAATAAATATATATAAGTCGTGTTCATGCATTTGGAGGCGCTGCAAACCGAATTTAAACAATTAATGTATTAATTGGCGGCCATTTATTTTTCGGTTCAAGTAACCGATACATTTTCTTCCTATGAACTCTCATCCTTTATTCATTTCCTTAGACATCGGAAACTAAAATCGTCAGCATGTTACTTCTCGCAGCACTGAAACAACAGTAAGTTAAAGCTCATCAGTTTTGAACGAAGAGTTTTCAGTGCCCAGCGATGAATGCATTATGAAACWTTAAATTCCTTTCATAATCAATTTAAAATTAATTTTTGATTATTACCTGTTCTAAATTGTTAATTAAATTCATAGGCTAGAGATTTAATGAATGGTGTTGAGATTGTTATTGCTACACCAGGTCGTCTATTAGATTTCTTAGAATCTCGTGCAACCAATTTGCAACGTTGTACCTATTTAGTATTGGATGAAGCTGACCGTATGCTTGACATGGGTTTTGAACCTCAAATTAGAAAAATCATTCAACAAATTAGAGTAAGTTTGTATTATACTGTTTGTTGTAATTACCAAAATTTTTTATGTACAATAATTATTGTAGCCTGACCGACAAGTTTTGATGTGGTCAGCCACGTGGCCTAAGGAAGTTCAGAAATTAGCCAATGATTTCTTAAGCGATTACATTCAATTGAATGTTGGTTCATTAACATTATCTGCCAACCACAACATTTTACAAAACGTGGATGTGTGTCAAGAACATGAAAAAGAAGACAAATTAATGGATTTATTACAAGACATAGCTAATATGGAAGAAAATAAAACTATTATTTTCGCTGAAACCAAGAGGAAAGTGGATACAATAACACGTAAAATAACTAATATGGGGTAAGTTATAAATTGTTTTCTATGCTATTTATAAATAATTTTGATATTAAGGATAACTTATATAATGATGATTTAAAAAAAAAAACATACCATGTGGTGTTTAATTTGTCCTCTAAGAAGATCTGAATTTTTGTCCGTWATAATGATTTTTAGTTTTTATTTAAGCTACATTAATATAAGTTCTCTAATATATATACATGATGATTCTACTTAATAAACATTCTTTGTGTTGTTTAATTTGTCCTCTAAGAAGATCTGAATAAGTATAAGATAAATAAGTTCTGATGATTTTATGTGCTAAACTAGGTTGTCACATTTATTATATTAGGTTATGTTTTCTTATTTTAATAAATTGTATTTTAAATTATAGGGCAAGGGCTGTTGGAATTCATGGAGACAAATCACAATCTGAGCGTGACCATGTGTTGAAACGTATGTTCTGATGATAATATTAATCGATTTAAATTAATGTTGACTAATTTTTTAGAATTCAGAAATGGAAGAGCTAATATTTTGGTTGCTACTGATGTTGCTGCCAGAGGTTTAGGTAAAATGATTTTGCTCTTAAAGTTATGTTGCAATCTTTATATAACTCAATGTATTTTCAGATGTCGATGACGTTAAGTTTGTTATTAATTTTGATTATCCCAACAACTCTGAAGATTATATTCAYAGAATAGGCAGAACTGGACGATCGTCACAAAAAGGTACCTCATATGCATTCTTCACCCATTCTAAYAGCAAACAAGCCAAAGACCTTGTGGCTGTTTTAACTGAAGCCAACCAACGTATTGATCCCAAATTAGCTGCCATGGCTGCACGTTCTTTCCGTAAGTTTCCCTATTTTCTTTTAATGTGTTAAACACTAATTTTGAATTATTGTTACAGCAAGTGGTGGTAACAAATGGTATGGCGGCGGTGGCGGTGGTGGAAACAGATCTTGGGGAGGCGGAAGACCAGCTCACAGAAAATTTTAAGTTTTAACAGATTTCAKTGTGTATTTAAATGATCAATTTAGCAGGCTTGACTTCTGGTTGGATATGATTCTATTTGATTTGTGTTGTAAAGTATGATTGTTCATTCCTCCTTATTCCATCCGAACAATTTCATGAAATGTATTTTAGAGATTTGACGTTGGAATTAACTAATATTAAATGAGTTTTCTATTCATTTTTCTTTTTTTTTTTAATCCTTAAGCTAAAATACAGATTTTTGGTATTTCTGTAGTTATATAAATGATAGAGTATTTCTAACGTAAGTTAGTAAATAATTACATTAAGTAAATAACTTTGATTTAGGTTTCTTACTTTTATAAATTTAAATTCTTGAAGAGTATTAATATAATTAATTACATTTATAGTAAACTTATCAATTGTAATTTATATGATGTTATTAGCTTAGTGCTTTCCATCAATATTTTCAAATAATTTAAAGTTTTAACATAATATTTCTCATTGTAAGTGGAATTTTCAACAATAAATAGTATTTATGTTTTGTAACTACTAGTTTCTAAATTAAATTAGTTTCCTGAAGCTAAATATTCTGTATGATTAGTTCATCAATTTTTGATTATGTGTGGTGAAAATCTTAATTAAATATATGTTTTAATTATTTATATAAGGTTATTTTATTCTACCTTGAGTATTTCTTTATATTAGAAATTGAACAGTATTGTTTAATGTATCTTGTTTATGTCTAGTAAGGTAAGGCATTGGGGGTGCCTATTGTCGGAATTTGAGCATAGTTCATTCCTAGTTTTATTGATGAGAAATTAGGATTGTAATTCACAGGCTGTAGGCTATAAAGTTAGTTTTAAAATGTAAGCTCTTGAAATACTTGCATTTAACTTACCATAACTGTATCAAAAATASACCAACTTCCTAAATGAAAATGCTTGTTACTTACTGATTTCTGTTAAAGGTTGGATTCACTGTACATTATATTTATATGATCTAAACTGGAATATTAATTCCTTATGCATTCTATGGTAAATAGAAATCTAAAACTTATTTGCTGAAGTGTAATTAAACAATT